GAGGGTATTTTGGATATCTCTTTTTGCCAACAGCCAGAAAAAAATACTTTTTCACCATTGTTTTAGGAATAATATGTAAATCGGGTAAATTATATGTAAAAAAACCTTCTGAATATATGACTAAAAGTAGTTTGATTTAATTCAACAAACATTTGTTTCTGCTATTTGCAGCTATGCTGAGCTCCCCTAACACTGGCATGCAGGCTCCGCTGGGCCCCGTGGGCACGAGTCAACCCACTGCGCCCACCATCAGCAGCGGCACACACATAGACCCCAGCTCTATGCAGAGGGCGTACGCAGCACTGGGCCTCCCGTACGGGAACCAGCCGGCTGCGCAGACGCAGGGCACAGGACAGCAGCCCACGCAGACCCAGCAGCAGATGCGTTCCATGCCTGCATTAGGTATCACCTTCAATTTGCAAGGAAAGCTAGAAAGTGTTTTTTGAGGAAGAGTGGAATATTTACTGCAAACAATTCAATGTTCCATGTTCATTATTAACCTTGAAAGCTGCTGTCATTCTTGCATCTGCTGTCAGTATGCACTGAAATGTCATGCTGCTCCTCATATTGCGTATCTGTGCATAACCCCTGTCTGGTTTCCCACAACATCTTCAGGCACTAACCAGATGAACATCGGTGGTAACGGTATGGCCGATCAGACGAACCTTCACACTGATTCCTCTCTCCCCTCATCCCTCAGCAAGTGAGTCTCTTCACCTTCACCCCTCACCTTTAACCTCTCACACACACTGCAGAGCGGGAAATGTTCATCTGCAGAGTACAGCAATGTAAGAGAGCAAACAATGTCATTGTGGAATGTGCAATTCTGTAGCTGTAAGTGGTTGAATGTCAAATCTGAGATGATAAAAGGGAAAATTATTTGAAAAATTGTTTTAAAATGGCAGGTTATTTTTTCAAAAAACTGCTTTGTTCAAAAACTACTGAAACAAACTTTGGTTTTTTTTGGACTGATTTTGTGCAAAATACGTCATACCAGTTCGTTCTTCATTTTGACTTGTTGAATGCAAGTTTTTAAAAAAGAGAGTTTTGCCATGTGACATTTGAAAACTATTGTCGTAATCCTGCTCCCACAGTCAGATGATGCTAGACGGGTCGAACATGGGCATCACGGGGAACCTGCCCACAGCTGCGCCGCTGTCAATGCCTGGCATGAAGAAGCCCTGGCACGAGCACGTCACTCAGGATTTGAGGAACCACCTAGTGCACAAGCTGTGAGTTGGAGAAGTCGTCATATTTCATAATCACGATTTGTCAAGGGCAATTCTCTTAACACTGTATTCCCAACAGAGTTCAAGCCATATTCCCGACCCCAGACCCTGCAGCACTGAAGGACAGACGCATGGAGAACTTGGTAGCTTATGCGCGTAAGGTGGAAGGGGACATGTATGAGTCTGCCAACAGCAGGGTAAAGCACCTGAACCTTTCATGCTACGTTTTAACCTTCCTTCAGGCTTTTTATTATTTTTTTTACTGTAAGAAGGCCCTTTTTTTTTTATATCCCTTAATATCTTGTGTTAATATCAGGATGAGTATTACCACTTTCTGGCTGAGAAGATCTATAAGATCCAGAAGGAGCTGGAGGAGAAGAGAAAGTCCAGGCTGTCGAAACCCCAAATGGTCGGTCAGGGTCCTCAGCAGCCTGGCCTTCCCCAGCCCAACGCTATGGGACCTGGACAAGCCATCCGGTCTCCAAGTTAGTGGTTTTGTTTTTTAATGCTCTGATCTTCTGGATGTTGTATTTCCCTGGCTGCTTTCTTGATTCGCTGCTCAAAATATGCCTTATTTCCTCAGATGGACCTGTTCCTATGTCCAGTGTGCCAAATCAGTTGATGGCCCGGATGCAGGTCCCTCAAGGTATGGTTTTTCATTCTGCATACACTCATATAGTACCGTTCAAAAGTTTAAAGTCGGTGTGATTTTTTTTTTACATTTATTTTAATATTGTTTTTGAAAGATGTTTCACCAAGGCTGAATTTATTTGATCAGAAACACAGTAAAACAGTTATATTGTGAAATATTATTATAATTTAAAATATCTGTTTTCTATTTTAACAAAGGCCTATATATATTAACCCTGTATGGTATGCAATATGATATCAAAGAGGAAAAAATTATTTGTGATGTTTTTCCTGCTTGAAATTGGACACTATAACAATGTCAATAACCATTTTCATAATTTTTTACAAATATATAGAACATGATGAAAAAACACATTAAAGCGTAGCGTAAACTCCGGTGAAAATATGCTAGTCTCATGAGAACTGTTTTGTTTACAGCAAAGCATCCTCTGACATTTTTCTTTACAAATCCTCGTTTTGTACTACTAATTGGTGACCGGTGTTATGTTTTGCTCTCTCCTCTTCGCTTCCGCATTAGTCACCGCGTTTGCCTACATGCTATGTCATCCGCTAGACTCCACTCTCTCGTGAACGCGCGTACGACAGTTAGCGGAAGCTAGAGATTACGGTTTATAAAGCTGTAAATATGGATATTTTTCTTACACACATGCATCGCTTCACTTCAAAAGGCCTTTATTAACGCCCCGGAGTCGTGTGGACTTATTTTATAATAGATGGGTGCAATTTTTTGGACTTCAAGTTTTGGGCTACCATCCACTCTCATTGTAAAGCATGGATTAGCCTGCACATTATTTAAAGCTGCAGTCCGTAACTTTTTTTGATTAAAAATGATCCAAAATCGATATTTGAGCAAGTACATAACCAGCCTTACTTTAGCCCGATTGACAAGGGTTAGCTTATAATAATGTTTTTAAATTTGAGTGGTACGGGTAGGTTTTCGAGCATGCTGCTGCGTCATTACGCCACTTCTGTAGACATAAAGAAGTTGTCCCGGCTACTAGGCTATCGCATATGAGGATGCTGCAGGTGGCAGATCGTTAGTCTTTTCTCACAGCAGCTAGAATAATTAAATGTCAAAAAATCATTTTGATGGCGGATTGTAATCCAGAAAGGATTATATGAAACGCATGTGAATGAAATTAAATTATATTCCAGTTTTAAATGTTCTTCTGATTAGAGATAGCCTGGGATTACACAAGATTTATATTTTAAAGACAACCAGTTTGAAGGGAGTATAGTTTGCTTTTTGGGTTAAAAGAATATCTTGGTATGAAATTCGAATTGTATGACAATTAGAGATTAGACTGTACAGAAATTGAAATCTACACACTATACTCAGTCACGCAATGCTGATGTTTTTAACATTAATAATCTGAGAATAAAGTATAACAATAATTATAATTTGCACGGTTCGATGTGATTTGAGCTAATCGATCGTTTGATTAAATCACCATTGGTAGCACGATTTATTGTAATGCTTTTTTCCTCAGTTGGTCAGAACAAACGTGGCAAACTTGTTACTTGTTTAGATGGCAATATCCAGTGAAAATTCTTATTTGGGTCATATATTCCAAGACGTAGGCTAGAATCTGTGATTACTAAGTATAGGATTCACACCGGTGCGGTGACTGACTGCTACACATACTCCTCAAAACATTAGATTCATCCGCGCTGGAGCCGTGCCAGAGTACAACCCACACAAGCTAGATAATTCCGCAAGTAACTGCAATTCCAGGTTTTCAAACAGACTGCAGCTTTAAAAAGCTGTAAATCGTGTAGCTCCCCAGTACTTGAGCAAGCTCTTATCGCTTTATAGCCCCTCGCGTATATTATGGTCTCAGATTCTGGTCAGTTGATAATACCTAGAATATGTTTGGGAGGCAGACACACTCTCTCAGTTTAAATATAGATTAAAAACCCATCTCTTTAAACTAGCATACACATAACACATAATCACATTTAGCTTGCATTCAGCTTTAGCGTGCATAAATTAGGTCAACCAGAACCGGGAACACTTCGCATAAGACCAAATGTATGCTTATATTAGTCGCTCTGATTCATTCTTATTGGGTTACCTTATCCAGTCTGCATTCAGATCAGATGGTAGACCTGCACCTTATGACGACAGCTCACAACAGCCCTGAATGTCAGTGGAGATCATGACACCTAGACGAGCCCATAGAGACAAATCCCCTGTAAAGACCTCAATGCCACAATAGCTATCAGCACAGATCCTCAGTAAAGACCACAAGAACCTGACAAGTCATCTACACAGTCCCTGTGGCCAGCTTCGATTCCTTCACCATGTGAAGTATCCCAATATCCAAGCAGTAGGAATTTGATGAATATTCTGAATGATATCAATCCACAATCTGACTTGTGATGCAGCCTGTAATGAAACCACACCAGGTTCACCTGGCCAGAAGAGAACTGGCCTGCCAGCTAAGCCTGAGTTTAAAAAAAAAATCAATTTCTGTTACTGATGGAGTTTGGGTTCCTTGCCACTGTTGCCTCTGGCTTGCTTAGTTGGGGACACATAACATTGAGTAATATTATTTAATCAACTGTACAGACATTATTGGAAGAGAACTGAACTGAGATGGATGACAACATTGTTTTCTCCAGAGCTGCTTTACAGCTGAATTGAACTACTAATCTATGATTTTTACACAGTAATTGAATGGAACTGAATCACCACTGAACTGACACTATTGTTTTTTCAGGGCTGCTTTACAGCAGAATTGATCTCTGAACCATCATTTAACCATCATTTTCCTGTTTATCCCTTTAAAGCTGTATTGATATTGCATATAGTGCTATTTAAATAAAGGTGACTTGACTTGAAGATTTAATTATCTGTTTATTTAATTTAATTTCCACAAAACAGGTCTCTATGGTCTGTTTCATATATGCGATTCATACACGAAAATATCATGTATCATGAATGTAGCAAAAAACAGTTGATGGTAGCCATTGACTTCCATAGTATGTTTTCCCCATTCTTGGCTACCATCAACTGTTTGGTTACCCACATTCTTCAAACTATGCTAATTTGTGTTCAGCAAAGAAAGAAATTCATATAGGGTTGGAACAATATGAGGCTGACTAAATGATGGCAGAATTTAAATTTTTGTTCCAAACCTGTATGAGTTTCTTTCTTCTGTGAACACAAAATAAGACACTCCCTTTAATGCAATGACAGTTTATTTATGTTGCATTGGATTGGATTTTTTACTTCCTGCATAATTTCAGATGATCAAAATCATCTTTCCACTGGCTCCAGGGCTGTTGATGATGTCTTCATGAGCCTGGGATGCTTTATCAAGTGTATATTCAGGACCAATGACAGGTTTCAACCAGCCTGTTTCCATTCCTGCAAAAAGAGCTGCGGCACACTCGGATGTTTCCTTCTGTGAAAGACACAGATAAAGAAAACCTGTCTGTATCTTACCATGAATCCTTTGCAAAATAAGATTTGTCATAGGTGATGATGAATAAATGCATTATATGCCAAGCATAAATTCTAGAAAGCAAGAAAATTTTAAATATGTAATGTCAGGAAGCCCACCGTACATTAGTTGTATTGTATAAAGCCACACCAATGATGCTGGTTTCTTTCATCATGGTGTCTCTGGGGTAGATTTCAATAGGGCCTCTAGAGCCAACAATCTGAAAGGAAGAACAATATGATGAAAACAAAAACAAAAATGTTCAAAACACTTGCTAAACAAACACGGGGTACTTACAATAACTCTGCCACCAAAGTCAAGCAACTGAAGATCATTACTGAGGTTGACGTTGGACAACATCTCAATGATCACATTCATGCCTTGTCCACTGGTAGCATTCTAAACACAGGAGAAAAATAAAAAAATTGCTGAAAAATTGCCCCCTTTATTTTTATAATCACAAACTATTGGTATATAAAGTATATCCATGATAAAGTCAGACTAGACTGTGTAATGTGTGACTTAGACTACCATTCAAAAATTTCAGAAAATTTTTCAGAAAAGGGGTCAGATAGTTTTTACATATACATTTTAATTAATCACATGCGATTGTCATGTGCATCTCATCAGTAAAGCCGGTTCTGTGATTAGTAATAAATCTCCATCATCTGCTTTCAGATGGAGCAGCATTTACTTCACAGAGCCGTAGTTCACTGACAATTAGGCAATATCGCGTTCATAACGCGATATTGCCTAGCTTGTCAGTGAACTACGGCTCTGTGTATTAAATGCCGCTCCATCTAAAAGCAGGAGATGGCAATTTACTACCAATCACAGAACCGGCTTTACTGACGTTATGCACATGCGATTAATTGCACAGCCCTAATACATTTACTCAGCAAGGATGCACTAAATAGATCAAAAGTGAAAGTAAAGACATGTATAATGTTTGATATATTTCTATTTGAAATAAATGCTCTTTTGAACGTCCTCCTATTCATCAAAGAATCATGAAAAATTTATCACAATTTCCTCAAAATTATTAAATAATAATGTAAATAATGTTTTCAGCATTGATAAGAAGTAAGCTTTTTTCCCCCATCAAATTTCTTAACATGTAATATTTGTATGGACATAAAAAGATTCAACAACAAAGACATAACAATTTTTACAGACATTTGTTTAACAGAAATGGAATGAGTCCCTGAACAGAGCAGGGGTCAATATCAAAGTATCAGTCAGTATGTAGCAGTGGTGTGTCCACCAGCTGCTTTAAGTACTACATTGAATCTCATCTTAATGAACTAAAGCCCTATTCGGACAGTAATTGTTTCTCATGGGGACGCAAGCTATTTTCACCATTTATAAGGGGTAATCAGTAATTTTATTGCCATCCGAATTTAGAATGTCAGTGTTTATCTTTCACCACCCGCGCCAATTTATTAATCAAATAATAAATAGGATAATACAGTTAGGTCCATTTATATTTGGACACAGGCAAATTTTTTGTTATTTTAACTGCTGACCAAAAATATTCAAGTTACAATTATATAATGAATGTGGCCTTAAAGTGCACACTCCGAGGTTTAATTTGAGGGTATTCTCATCAAAATTGGAGGAAAGGTTAAGGAATTACAGCTCTTTAATATTTACCACACCCCTTTTTCAAGGGACCATAAGTAATTAGACAATTGACTCAAAAGCTGTTTCATGGACAGGCATGGGCTATTCTTTCGTTATTTCTACATCAATCAAGCAGGTAAAAGGTCTGGAGTTGATTCTAAGTGTGCCATTTGCATTTGGAAGCTGTTGCTGTGAACCCACATCATATGGTCAAAGGATCTCTCCATACAAGTGAAAAAGACAATTGTTAGGCTTCAAAAACAAAACAAATCCATCAGAGGGATAGCAGGAACATTAGAAGTGGCCAAATCATCAGTTTAATACATTCTGAGAAAAAAAGAACACAGCAACTCAGCAACATAAAAAGGCCTGGATGTCCACGTAGCACATCGGTGGTGGATGGTCTGAGAATCCTCTCCATGGTAAAGAAAAACACTTTCACAACATCCAGCCAAGTGAAGAACACTTTCCAGGAAGTAGGCGTGTCACTGTCAAAGTCTACAATCAAGAGAAGACTTCACGAGAGAAAATACAGAGGATTCACCATAAATCGCAAACAAGGCCAGATTAGACTGCCAAAAAACAACTAAAAAAGCCAGACCACTTCTGGAAAAGCATTCTTTGGACGGC